GATTCCAAACCCCTCTCTAGACCTACGAGATTGGATGTTTCCATCTCTTTATAGTGCTCTAACTGGAACTTTATTTAAAAAAAAAAAAAAAAAAAGAAGAAGAAGAAGAAGAAGAAGAAGAAGCTATTGGTGAGCTAAATTTATAAATATTAATGTAGAATTTTTGTCTTGATATAATTAATATTTGAATGAAAATTTACCTAATTTTATATAATCAAAAAAAATATTTTACTGTTTGAATTATTTTGAATTATTTTGAATTGTAAAATGCTAATTGTTTGATAGGAGAGTGCCTATCAAAGGGCCATCTTCAAATCAAATGGTCTCTTTTTTACAATTTAGATTGGTCTAGACTGTAAAATTCCAGATTGTAAAATAGTGGCTCTTACATAATTCTCATTCTTTATGTAGGACTAAATTGAAAGAAATAAGAAATTTTAGGACCAATCGAAGAAATAATAACTGTGAGGATCAAAGTGTCAATTGGTGAAAGATTAGTGACCAAACAGTTTTACCAATGAAGAACCAAAATTACATTTTGGTCCAAAATCCACGACAAGGACTCTGTTCACCGATTTAGTAAAGGTGTCGGCACTTTGTTTCGAGTGTCGATCTCTTGAGCAATTTCAGCAAGTCCGCGCCCATGTTTTAGTGTTGGTTCCATATTTATTCCAATTAGAATTTTAAAATTGAATATATACTCACTTAGGAACAGATTTTGGGGATCTTTGGGGAGGCTTTTGGCAGTTCTTCTTAGGACACCCTTGAAAATGAAGTTAGAGGCAATAATAATTTATCAATAATAGAAATATGAGAAAGTTAACATTATTAAATTATATTTTATTTTAAAAAAAAAATTGAGATAATTTATTATTTAAACTTTTTATTTTTAAAAAATTAATTAAAATTTAATGGTTATTATTAAGCTTTATTAAATTAATACTCTTGAAATTTAAGTAAATGCTAATTATTAAATTTGAACCAATTTCTTAAAATTAGAAATTTGGGATAACAAATTACATTAACAATTTTTTAGATGGTGATTTGCTTTCATGTGACAAATTTGAGGGGATTTGTACCTTTCGCTTTCTTGATTTTATTCTTTGTTTTGATATGAATTATTGATTCATAAATTTGATTTCAAGTTTTAATGTTTTTATTATAAACTAATTTAGACAACTAATTAAGGTTATAATGTAACTTAATCAATTTAACATAAATCTTGTAATTTTCATACTTTGAAATTGCTATTTTTTGATAAATATATATTATTATTCTTAATACTTTTTAATATTCGATCACTATTAAAATTGATTTAAAGAATATAATTGAAATTGAGAAGAGATTTCATATAATAATTTCTAATAATATATATAATGAATTAAATGAAAACCAAAAAACATACTAGCGTGATTTATGCAATATTAGTCATAAATGAACTTAATGTAATTTATGTAGTATTAATGATAAATAAATTTGATTTTTTTACATAAACAAAGAAATTTTACAAAATATAATATATTTTTATTTATTTAAATTCATATAGATATATAGTGAATTAATATGTGAAGATAGATTTAATATAATTTGAGAAAATTTATTGAATAGAATAAAAAATCTCACTATTACATGAGCAATGAAGATTTTTAAAGCATAATAATCTCAACTTTATGATAATTAATTATAGTAAAAGCAAATGTCTTATTACCTCATATTTTGGTACTTTTATTTTGAAATATTATTTTATTTTAATATGTTTTTGGTAGAAATTCTTCTTCTTTATTTATTCGGAGATTCTAAAATTAATTATTTTCAGTTTTTAATTAATCATAATTTTTATATGAATAATACTCTCTTAATCACTTTATTACTTAAATAACTAGTGCATTTGTTAGTGAATTTTAACATATCAACTATTAACAAACTTTATGCATTTTTAATCTACTGTGTAATTTTGTCTTTTCCAATCCTTTGAAGAAGGGATGTTTACCTTAATTGAAAGTAATGAAATTTATTGATAGTAAACTGACAGATTATATCAGAACAATCTCTATAAATCTATGTCTATGGCACCATTAATAGATGATTTTGCTCATAACATATATAAATAATTAAGTATAAAAAGTTATAAATTACTAAAAATTACTTAAAATAATTCTATAACAATTGTTATAAGGGAGCAAACACTTTGAAAGGAGAAAACCACTCTATTATACATTCCAAGTATTTGAGAAGTCCGCTCTCTTGCTCCAACTTTTAAAGCAAAAAGATTAGTAAGAGATTCCACCCTCAACCATGCCATAAGTTTGGAATAAAGCGAAACTAATGTTTTAAAGTATATCCCATATGGTGAAAAACATTTCTGATATTAAATTTAGGCAAACCCTTCAAATCCACCTTCAAAAAAAAACCGGAAGGAAAAAATTAACCCCAAAAAAAAAACAGGGATAAATTGCTCTTCCAAATCATAAATTAATACAAATCACCCATTTTTCAATGTTTTCCGTTAAAAAATATTGACGTAGCAAACAAAATTATGACGTTTTTTTGTTGAAAAGGGGGTGATTTGTATTGATTTATAATTTGAAAAAGCACTTTGTCCCTGTTTTTTTTTTTTTAGGAGTGGATATGTTCCTACTGATATTTTCTTAGGATGGATTTGAGGGATCTGCCTTAAATTTAAGATTAAGCATCAACTTACATCAAGAAAATTTTATATATTAATTATCAACAACATATTTTACAATTACAATTAGGTAAATATCAATCTCTAACAAACTAACCTTTATAAAAATGGTCAAAATATTATTTTAACTTTTCATTTAGAATGAAGATGGTCCCCTAACCTTTTCTAAATCACCAGACGGAAAATTGTCTCCCAACTTTTTTTAAATAACCAAGCTTAATCCTATTATTAGTCATTTCAATTAAGTTTCTAACACTAAACCTAATTAACTAGAATTTCATAGAACTCATGAGAATGCTTGGAATAGGAAAAAGCCAGTCAAACCCCAAATTTTTGAGAGTTTTTTATTTGTTTTCTTTTTATCAACTGCAACTTCAAATCTATGTTTTATTTTTATCTTCTAATTAGCACAAGTCCTATTTCAGGAATCATTTCTAGAAATTATAGAGCTATATAGGTTAGGCCTTGAAATTTTATGAGATTTGAATGGGTTCCATAAGATTCTAATTAGGATTTCTATAAGAGTGCTGATCTAACAAAAAAAATATATTACAGATTTAAGTAACCAAGGGTAGAATTAGGGTTGTAATATGTTTGAATTGAGAGGAATATAAAGAAGGGGAAGTAGCAAAAAAGAAATTTTATTTTTCATTTTTCTCTCCTCCTCTCTCTCCTCTCTTCCGCTTATTTTGATAAAGTAAATGAATAAAAAGAAAAAAAATTAACATTGAGAAATAATTATAAAGTTAAAATTAAAAAAAATATATTTTTTTTAATTTTAACTTTATAATTATTTCTCAATGTTAATTTTTTTTCTTTTTATTCATTTACTTTATCAAAATAAGCGGAAGAGAGGAGAGAGAGGAGGAGAGAAAAATGAAAAATAAAATTTCTTTTTTGC